GGGGGGGAAAGACATGACTAAGCTAATAAAACCGTCCAGCTGATTTTAAGGCATTTGAGCATTTCTTTGTTATATGCTTCCCAGATTTATATTGTTAACATGCCCTTCTCTGGTTTAGTTTTTAAATCTTGAAAATGAAACTATCTGAATTATTTACTTGTATGCTATTTGAGAATTTGAGATTGCTGACTTCACTAATAAGCATCGGGAATTTCTACCATATTACCGTTATGCTAGTAATTATTTCATTTATATAGGAAAAATATTCTCATACTTTTAAATGTTTTCGTGACAATTGACCGTTTCCCGTGTTCTTGATAAAGATGAGATCAGTGTTGTGGTGGATGAAGAGTAGCTTTTGAACTACCTTTGCTTTAGCATGAAATTGGCTTATATGGTACATGACAATTGATCAGATTTTAGATGTTATTTAAGTTTAATTTTTCATGTTAAGGGGTGTGACAAAATTTTAAGTTCCTTTTCATTTCAAATAGTTCTTGAATTTAATTTGCTGAGGATAGCTTTCACTTGGGAAATATAATGCTTTTGAAATTTTATAACTGAGCCTATGATATCCGCAATTTAAACATGGTGGTGTTGGACTGTCTTATGAAGCATCAAATAGTGTTAAATAATTACTCTCTCTGTCACGAGTTCGAATTTTGCCGCAGATACTATTGGAAAAACTTACTACAATATTGATATTGAACAGAAATAAAAATAGTAACAACTTATCAAAATAAATATTGTATTCGTGGCAAGTCAATGTCTTGAAAGCGATTTTGATCCGACTAGGATGCAAACCACTACGACCATAGCTCCCTAACTTGTGTACTCATGACTGGAAGTTTGGAGTTTATTAAAAAAAATTTGCCAAGAAAAAATTAAAACAAGAAGAATAGCAGATCTTGGAAAGAGAAACCGAAGACGCTATACTCAGACACCTTGGAAATAGTTACCAATTCTTGGATATGATTTCTACTCATGTTTTTCAAGATTTTACTGAAACAGATTGGAAACATAGCTGTTTTATCAGGAAATAGTAGACCTGCTAAACAGAAAGTATCATAGTACGTCGTCCTTCCCTGTCCGTGCGCGTTTTTCTTCTCTACCATGACGAATCAAAGGTCAAACGTGGTTAGAAAATTGAAGAGCTTAATATTGTTCAGAAAATTTAATACCAAAAGGATGTTAGCAAGTAGAATTCCATAACATAATCTCTTTTCAGCAACAAGAGATTTGGTTTAATCCCAAATCCAGATGCACAAGAGAGTAAACTATTACATCCCAAAATGCAGACGTACAATGCTAAATCTAGCTTTTGCCGGTGTGTAAAAGGCAACAACAACAACAACAATAAACCAAGTGTAATCTCACATAGTGGGGTGTAGAATGTACGTAGACCTCACCTCTACTCTGATGAGGTAGAGAGGTTGTTTCCGATAGAACCCCGGAGTGTGTAAAAGGCTTAACACCAAAATTATTTGAGTGTGTCACTAATGTTTTTCAGGTACCTAATACTCTTTATTCATTATACAATCTTCTAACAAGAACAAACCTATTGATGAACCAAAAAAAAAAAATGGTGAACAACCTCCAGGACAAGATTTTGCCAACCTTCTCAAGTTTAGTCGGAATGGAAAAACTCCTGGTAAGAGCTTCAAATGGCGGTTACAATCTTCTTAAGTTTAGTTGGAATGGAGAAACTCCTGGTAAGAAGCACTTTCCCCTGTAATAGGCCCTATGCAGCACGAATCTTGATAAAGGAAACAAAAAGGATAAAAACTATTACATCTCATCAATTGCATATATAGTCAAAAGGATAAAATCTAATCGGAGAAACTCCTGGTAAGAAGCGTTTTCCCCTTTTAGTGGCCCCGCTAAAGAATGTAGTTACTGATGGTTGAAGGAAATCAATCCTATGGAGCGCTCCTTCGGCCAAATTCAGCTAACAGAATCCTTTTATAATAATCAGAGCGACTACGATGATAATCAATCCATACACATAATTGTCTAATCGCCTCTCGCTTTTCCTCCTTTAAAACCAACATTGATTCCTCTTGGTCCTTGATCATTTTCTCTAGTTCTCTAACTTTGTTCTCTAACTTCCAAACTTTCTCTCTATATTTCAATATCTCAGCTTCCTTATCATCACATTGTGTAAGTAAACAATCAAAATCATCTTTAACATGTGCCATTGCTTTGTTTTTCCTCATCACCCAATCTTTAACGAACTTCAACTCACACGAAACCTTGGATATTCGATTCAAGAAATGAGCAGTGCATTCCTCAAATTTTAGTGCCACTGCATCTAGTGAACCTAACATATCACTTGCTGTCAATGATATATCCTTAATTCCCCTTAGCCCCATTTCATGTCTTGCATTTTTCTCTTTTAGGTCTTTATTTTCTTTCTCGTACGAGTTCCTGGTTTTTTGGTACCACTCCTTGTTCTCGATATGCAATTGTTCTGCTACGCGAATCCTTCTGCTCAAGATTCGTAAACTGTCCTCAAACGTCTTGCGTAGTTCCTCAGTCATTTCTTCTAGTTTTCTTTCAGCATTGTGAAAATTTGATTTGGAATCTTCTAACCTGATTTGCATTTGCTTATGTTCCTCCTTTGACTTGTTTACGATAATTTCCATTCCTCTTATATTTTTCTCCAGCTCCGCGATCTTGATAGTTAATTCAGTGTTTTTCTTTTCCATCTGCTTAAGCCTTTGTGAAAATTCATGTTTCTCTTTCTCAAGCTGAGATTTCAATCTAGACTTTTCAGTTTCCGCTGTTGAAATTCGCACTGTCAATGTTGAATTCTGAGTGGACATATCATTCATATAAGCCTCAAGTTTCTTTTGAAGAATTCCCACCTCTGCTTCTTTTCCTAAAAGTTTTGTTTCCAACTCCATAATCTTATCATTCAGCTTTTCTTTTTGTAATTCTAAATGATAAGCTTCTTGATTCATATCCATTATCTTCTCTTTCAAGTCACTTTTTTCTTTCGCGAGTGATTTCACCTCTGAGTTTAACCCCTCCTTCTCTTTTGTTATCCCTTCCTCCGACAACGTCGTGCTTGTTAATTTCACTTTCATGTTCTCTATCTGAAGTTGACATTCTGATACTTCTTGAGTTTTTTCTTTTAGTGACAACTCTAGTTCATATTTCTGATTTCTTAAGGCTTCCAACTCCTGCTGCAGATAATCAGTCCTTTCTGTTAAATCAAGAAAATGTGTTCTTTCTGTTAAGTCCTTGACTTGATCTGATCCTTTCTTGGTTTCATGTAACAATTTTTCTTCCAATTCATTCCTTTCAGCGCGTAAACGGTTCACTTCTTTCTGCAGACCGGTTGATTTTGACATAAGATCGTCGATTCTAGACTTTGACTTCTGTTGATTCTCCTTGAATTTTTTAAGAAGTTGAGAAAATTGATCATCTTTCTTTTTGAATGTTGCTTGTAGTTCTAAGACGCGAGCTTGCAATCCTGAATTACTTTCTTCCATTCGTTTAACTTCATTTGACTTGTACACGGTTTGCTCTTCGAGTTCTCTCTTTTGAACACATAAGTTTTCTAATTCAAGCTTCATTGTAGCAACTTGATCTTCTAACTCTTTCATTTTAGACAATCTCTCCTTCTCGCGAAGTTCAAATTTATCGGTGAGAGACAAGATCTCGTCTTCTTTTTCTTTCACTTTCTCCTTTAACAATGTAGATTCATTTATCAACTTCTCTTCGCCTTGAATCCTAAGGTCTTTGAAGAATTCCTCTGGCTCAGACACTCGGCCAAAAGGCATCGGCACATCAAAGTCCATAGTTTCAACCTTAACTTCACTTTTTGAGGTTATTTTGTCCTTCAAAATAGCATCCTCTACATCTAAAGTCTCACAATTGGAACAAGATGAGTTACTTTTGGTAGCCATTTCCTCAGGGGTATAATATAATTCTGAATTAGAACACAAAGAAGATGGAGAAGACGAATCGCCCTCGTGTTCTTCATTAAGTTTTTTCCTTACTTCCCCTTTGAGATTATCATACATAGAATAAACGGATTGGTACTGTTTATGGAATTCATCAACAAGTTGAAGTAGTTCTGATCTTCTCTTCAAATTCCCTTCTCTACTCCCTTGGTTTAGTCTCTTAATTAGCTTTGCTATTCTCTTTACTTTATTCTCAATCTCTGCAATAAGAATAAAACTCTTCAGATTAGGATTCTCTTATTTTATGAACCAAAAATAACAGAAAACATAATGCTTAACATCAAAAAAATATATAGAATCCACATAAACTCAATGTGCATTGTATTGGTATGAGTACATGATACAAACTTGGATGTATTTAGGGATCTCAGTGCTTATAAGTTATTCTACAATGCAATATACCAAACAAGAAAATGCAATTAAACGACAACAAGCAATACAGTTTATCTAAAACATTGTTTCAATGAGACAATACAACAAGAAGCCTAGTGAAATCCCATGTGGTGTCTGGGGAGGATAGTGTGTACGCAGTACTTACATAATGAGACAATACAGTACAATATAATATGATATAAAACGATATATTATGAAACGATGGAAAACAACAACCTAAATAGGCTATTACAATTTGCCACCATTATACACAGAGGTGAATCAAAGATATTGAGTCAGTGGGTTCTGAATGAATATGATCTTATTATATGCATATGATTTATATTCTCTTTGCATATGTCTAGATAGTTCAGCCTAAATGTATCGGTGTTCAGTTGAACTCATAGAACCTATTCTAGATCTACCTCTACTACTTATACACCTAGTTAAGGTCACATAATCTCGTAGGTGCACTTTATTTGTATAAAGATATGACACAAAACTTGGATTTCATTAGGGGGTAATTAGAAATTTTCAAGTGACATTAAGTTTTGCCACCATTATGCACTTTCTTGACAGGATGATCAGCAACTTTCTGTGAACTAGTTGCCATTCTGTATACAATCTAACCGCACATTGTTTCAACAATACATTACGACACAATACAACACCGTACAAAACGATACATTATGAGACGACGAAAAACAACAAAATCACAGAGTAAGGTAGAAAACAATACATTATGAAATGACGAAAAAAGCAAAACCAAACAGGCTTTTAAGGTTTGACACCATTATACACAAGGCAAATCCAGGATTTAGAGTCAGTGCGTTCAAAATGAGGGTAATCTTATTATGTGTATTACACTCTATATTCATTTTTGCACATGTTTATATAGTTCGAGCTGAATGCAATGTGTTCAATTGAACTCATAGAACTTATTCTAGATCCGCCATTAATTATACACCTAGTTACATTAAGTTTTGCCAATTTTCTTGACAGGATGATCAGCAACTTACTGCGAACTAGTTGCCATTCTGTATACCACATAAATCCACGTTCAGGGTAAATTTGTGCGCGAAGATGTGCTTTAAATTGCCTTCTTTTTGCCTCTAACGCGTTATCCCACAACCTCCAATAACATTCAAAGGGTCGAGGTTGTTCTGGAATTGAATAATTACCTATTTTTATCCATTTCAATTCTTCTTCTTTTTCAAGATCAATATGACTCCCAAATGCCTTCATTGATTCCTTCCAACTACGCTTCGTCATGTCTGTTCCCAAATTTTCAATGGAAATTAATGCTCGAAATTGGCTGCTGGCATCAAAATTGTTTCCTCAACTGCATTAAAGAGCAGAAATGGTAAATAACTAGTTACAATTTTAATAAAAGTCGCCAACCAAGAATTCTAAAACAATGCAAGGATATTACATCTCGGATTTTAACCTGTGACATAAAGCAACTTCTGATCCACATTTACTACATGCACTACAAGATTCCGTTATGTCAAAGAGATTCAACAATTTATATATATACATAAAAAAAAAAGTTGGTTTTACCTTATTTGCTTTAATTTTGAGACGAAGAGGCTTCAATTAAACCTCTTTTGGAACATCTAACTCTTCCTTGGGGTGGAGCTAGGTGGACGGATTCGCCCGAAAATTACACTGTCTATTAGGTCAATTTTTTTCATATACATATATTAGAAAGGAGAAGGGGAGCCTTGACGTAACTGGTAAAGTTATGTCATGTGACCAGAAGGTCTCGGGTTCAAGCCGTGAAAACATGCAGAAATGTAGGGTAAGGTTGCGTACAATAGACCCTTGTGGTGCGGCCCTTCCCCGGACTCCGCGCATAACGAGATCGCTTAGTGTACCGGACTGCCCTTTTTTTAACATATAGTAGAAAGAAATCCTCATAGCTCCTTTGCATGTTTATTTTCTTTATTTTTGAATCCTCTTAGTAAAAATCCGACATACGCCACTGTCCCGGTTGTGCATGTTGAATTATGACATGTTAAATCTCTTTAAAAAACACAAGGAGAACAGAAAAATAAACATCTGGAACAGGCCCAAACATTTGTCAAGATTCATCCAAAAATTTATAGCATATGATGTTTGAGAAACTTCACCTAAATCGGATGCTTTAATTAGATACAAATGCCTTCTCATTTGAGGTTCATTTTTTTTTCTGGAATTTGTTGATTTAGTTTCATGTATATAATAAACATGGAGACAACATGCAAAAAAAATTAAAAAACAGATAAAAGAAACATTAATGAACATTCAGGAATATATATATATATAGATACATACATTTAAATAAAAGAAATGTTTTTTTGAAGGTAAAGATTCAAGAAAGGTGATGAAAATGTTGAATATATGAAATTAAAAGAAATATCAAACAGAAAAGCAGATATAATTAGCATGATACTTCAACCAAGAGAAATATATTACCATGCAAAATTCACTTTTTTTATTGGGAAGCTTCCATTTTCTGGTTTTTTATCCTTTGTTTTGTTTTTTTCCCTCAAAATATTACCTAAATTTGGGAGCAAAAAGATGAGGATGTTTCATCTGAATCAAGAAAAAAAAAAAAAAAGAGCTTTAAAAGGGTTAAAGAGGAGGAAGAACAAAATGGGGATCACAAAACACAAACATTTATTTTATTTTGACATATGGTGTGATTTTAATTTCACATATTGTTTTGTAAATATAAAAGCAATAAAATATGATTCTGGAAGTGTAAAAAAAAAATTAAAAAAAATGAAAGTCTCCCTTGATTTATCAATCATCTAGAAAATTACGTTAAATTGTGGTGTTGCTTTTATTTTACTTTTTAATCAAAGTTTTGTTGGAGAATTACATATCCACCAGTAATGTATTTGTTTTTTTTTTTCCTTTTCAGTTTCCTTTTATCGAACGATCAATTAGTTTAAGTCAGAAATGTATTTTTTTTTTTATTGCTAAGGAGTTCAGAATTCCCATATTATTTATGTATTTTAATTGATTATGATAGATTAATTATTAAATTTTTTATGTTATTAAATTAGACTTAGGAAGTTATTTATGGAATAAGTGAAAGAAAACAGGGCTGGCTATACAAATTCTGCCTTCTTTATTTTATCGCTTGAGCCTGGCCTTGTTCTTCATCCAGCACACTAGCAAAGAACTTTTAAGTTTAAGCTCATAGAATCGCTGTCGAAATCCGAACGCCTACCCCGACACGGAAAGCTTATCCCCGACATTTACATAAGGATTAATAGTCTAGTCCAATATTTTTTGTCCTTAAAATATCATATATGCACCGTCCTTTCTAAATCCAACTTCAACCGAGTGTACGTCTGTTGCGGGAACAGGAAGAATGGAAATTGACTTTTATGTTGAAGAATGACCGAGACCATAAAATCATTTTACACTCGCAGAGGCAGTTTCAGGATTTTAATTCTATGGGTTCAGGCTTTACGGTTTTAGTATTGAACCTATTATATTTTTAAAGTTATGGGTTCAGACCCACTATATGTTGCAATTTTAGTGAATTTTTATATTAAATTTATACTTTGTATCGAAAGTATTGGGTTCAGATGAATCCGGTACTATAACACTACATACGCCATTGCACACCCGCACATGTGGCTGAACATATAAGGTAATTCACACACCTTGGAAAATTCATTATGCATCCCTGACTTGTCACAGCTTGATCGGTCCTTACAGGAGCCTAACGGAGAAAAGGTCAGTGGTGCACGATTCAAAACTTGGTTGATAATGAGCACGCCTCTTTACCATTCTCTACTTAAATACAAGGCTTTTATCTGCGATAAGGTTCGAATCTGTGACGTGAGCATAACCCACATATTACGTGTTGCACTCTCACCCACTAGACCAAAGCCCTACGAGCTATAAATAAAATTAATTAGGGTGACTTGTAAAAATAATATTTTTAAATAAGGCGGCTTATCACATTAAGACTCTTTACAATGCACCTGTTCAATTGATCCATTCGTTTTACCAGTTCTTTTTTTCTTTCTAAATTTTTGTTTTACCAATTCAAATCCGTGCTATTTTTTTTTTTAGTGCCACGAACAAATCAAGGAATAGATCATGTTGCAGCAATGACTCCTTTAAATGTACTCGTCCACGTACCCACTGGTGTGGCCTTGCGATTCATGAAGCGAGCGAATATCTTGGTAGATCAAGGTTCAAATCTCACTAGGGACAAAAACGTTAGGTGATTATTTTCCAAACAGCCTAAACTTTGGTGACAAGAGCTACTGTCTTTGTTCGTGGAAGGTAGCATATGGCAATCCGGTACACGAAACATCCCGCGTTCATGTAGGGTCTGGAGAAGGGCCGCACCCTAGCTAAGGGGGTGTGACGTAGGCGGTCTACCCTAATGTAAGTATCAGTGGCAGGTTAATTCCACGGCTCGAACACGTGACCTATAAGTCACACGGAGCAACGGTAAAGGCTCCCGTGGAAGGTAACATATACTCATGAAATAGTCGAGATACATACAAGTTGACCTAAACACCACCTGTTATAAATTCATTTTTTAAAAAGGATGCATGCACATAGAGTCCAGATTTTAGAAGGCTCATATGGTCACATGGTGTAGAGGAGCTTAGCGAACAATCAATGAAATTGCAGTTGACATAATGTAGTGGTTTTTTTTTTTCTACATGTGAAATGATCATTTGTACACCCAGGTATATACGGTCAGAGCTGGACCAAGAATTTGAAGGTGGCGAACGAACTGCTCAACCAGTGCCCTTATCTTAATTTTAATCTAAGGGTTCCAAGTAAAATATATAATCGTTTTTAACGTATATACACATATATCTAGAATTTTTGCCAAGTTAACAAGGTCCGGTGACCCCTCTATTCCAAACATAGGTCCGCGACTAGTGTAAAAACTTGGTCTATAGGAAACAGTTTTGTTGATGATGAGGTCTTGTAGTACTTGTACTTGTCATGATTCTCTTCCCCTTATATATTGATATATGAAAAAGTTCTACATTGTCTGTGAATGAATTTTTTTTACTTGGTCATCTCCTGTCTCAATGAAGAAGAAATAAAGAGATCCGTCTATATCGAAGTCTCTCGGTTGAAAAAATAATAGGAAAATTCCTGGATTACTCATGGAAAAGAACTAAAACAGAACGGTTTTGCCTACTTAAAACTAAGAGGGGATGCCGCCTAGTACTAAATTCCCGATCTGTATTAATCAATGCCAACTCAAACAAGAAGAAGCTCCAAATTGGCATTTATCCCATATGCTGGTGTAAACTGCCTTTAAACCAATTTCATGTGAGCCAGAAATGCCAACTTTCGAGTGCAAATACAAATCGGAGATTTTGTTCCTGAAATTTAGCAACTTTTAGCTGATGAAGAGTATTACAGGCAGGGGTGAAGCTATGTGTGGCCATGATGGTTAACTGAACACCCTTCGCCGAAAAATTATACTGTATATAGGGTAAAATATTATTTGTTATTGATAAAAAAAATAGACTTTGAAAACCCTTTACAACCACTAGCAAACGGTATTCAAAATTTGAACACCCTTATTGAATTTCCTGGCTTCGCTCCTGATTACAAGAACCATGAAATTCTGAAAGTAGCATCCTCTTGTAGTCAGGGAATGAAAGTAGATAATGTGACATTTGTCGTCTTAGAATCAGAGAGTTCAATAGGCGCGTATAAGAATCACACTTCATTCATATTTTGCTTCAATATATTTAAATACGAAATTGCTTAACTAACTTGTAAGGTGGAAAACTGTATATATATGTAGTAATAGTGCATATTTCTCTTGTTACAAAGGCCCCCATGAAAATCCGGGGAGGTTTTGTAGCTCTAACCTGGGACTAGAGAAATCTTAGCCTTGAGTGAGTACATTGTATGAATCTATTCAGTGCAAATACTGCTGTATATGCATTAAGTGACAGATGAAGAGCTACGCGATCTCTGAATGAGACGGATGAGCTTTCCGTTGTATATGTGGGCTCATACCTGAAGGTTGGCACTCTCGATTTACTCTAGCACATCGAGAACATGGATTTAGTGGCGACGAACTTGGAGATTGATATGCATATCCCTTTGAGGCGATCGCTGGTGATGATCTTGAAGATGCCTTTGGTGTTCGTGTTGGTGAAGACATCGGTGATGAATGTATTCTCTTAGCTCTAGCTGGTGAAGATCTTGGTGAGTCATCATTCAGTTTCTCTGCACAAACCATTCAATATTATACTCATGTTTGGAAATCCTCAAACACTAACTAATCGACTGAGAAAAAAACATCTACTCCCTCTGTCCCAATCGGTGTTGTTTGACTGGGCACGGAGTTTAAGAAAGAAAGAAAGAAAGATTGACATTTGTGCGGCTATAAATCATCTCATTAAGGGTAAAACATGAGTTCTAAAGATAAATTGTTTAAAGGTGACATTCTTTTTGGGACTGACTAAAAAGGAAAGAGTGTTGGGACGGAGGGAGCAAATTATTTTTTGGGGGGCGTTAGAAAAAATTACCTGTTAGAGAGCTAGTCTTTGTATCCTGCAGTTTGCCGCGCGATGAATCTTTCTTCACTGTTATCTTTTGATTTCTGGTCTTGGATGCAGTTGTCTCGGTGTTCTCGGATGATATTGAAATTTGATTAGTTTCCAGAACTTTCTTCTCTATAATCTTCGATAACTTTTCGTTTGTTTTCCTAGTCCTTACACTTCTCCTTTGCGCGTGCTCACCTTGAAGTGGCTTGTCATTGACAGTTGACGACTTCATCCTTTCTGGAGTCTTGGAATGTAGTAATTTCCTATCATCAGATGAATGTTTCTTCTCAGGAGCCTCGGAACTGATTAGTTTCTGATCGTCTGATGCATGTTTCTTTTCTTGACTCTCAGGACTAGTTAGTTTCTGATCGTCTGATGCATGTTTCTTTTCTTGACTCTCAGGACTAGTTAGTTTCTGATCATCAGATGAAATTTTCTTCTCTAAATTCCGAGGAGATACTAAGTTTTGCTCAGCTGATTTTATTTTCTCTGTAGTCCGAGGAGATACTAAATTTTGTTCAGCTGCAACATTTGCTGTAGGTTTTTCATCGCCTGCTTTTGGAGACATTACCTTCTCCTGGTTGTCCGAAAATTTCAGTCTTTGGTTCTTGCTCATTGATGAGATGATCTTTTTCTCTAGTGTGTCGATACGTGGTGACCTATCAACTATTGGGGTTGATAGTACTTTCCTATCTGGACTATCAGCAAAGAAAAACTTCTCGTCTGCTGCTACAGACGAGAATCTCCTGTCTGGACTCTCAGAGCCAACTGATGCTTGATCGAATAAGTAAAGCTTTCTATGTGGTATTTCTGAGATAGCTGATCTCTGATCAAACAATCTTGAATCTTTCCTGTCAATTATCTCTGAGCAAACTGACCTTCCATCGCTCGGTGCAAGAAAGAGATCATCCATCGCAGCCAAATGCCCGTCATCACTCAGAATCGATGCTCGCCTATGGACTGAAAATCCATCATTTGATGAATCCCAGTTCTTTCCAGAAATTTTCTC